CCCCCCCCCGCCCCCCCGCCCGGTACGCCTATGTGGTTGACAAATTGTCAACGGCTTGTTGGCAACTTGCTACAAGGCGGTTCAGCTCAGCTTGCGAACACATCTTGTTGACAAGTTGCGAGAATTTTACGTGTGCAATTGGCATTTCATTTATCGTGGATAATTCTATCTGCATGATATTTTCACGCGCATTTGAATGACGATGATTTGGGAACAATGAGACAAATTAACGCCAAAACTGTTCAACCAAAATCACATGCGATTTTGACCGTTGCCATGCCACAGATTTGAGGTGTCGTTGAAATTAGCGAGATTGAATTTTTCAAACATAAATCGAAAAAAATAATTAATTTACAAGACTAAAATGAAAGGTAAGGCCTGCCGCAATTGTTTTGTCTCGAAGTTGTTTTCGTACGGCAAAGCTACGAGCCGTAAGCTAGATCTTTATTAGTGACGAATAATATAACGGATACTGTAGCAGAAACCTATTATTGCTACACCGGGTATTAAAGGCTGCAATCCAGTCGCAAGTTTTTCGTACACGCACGGAAAAGCTTAAATTCATTTGTTATTTGTGAAATGTTACTTACGAGATAATTAAATTAACGAAAGGACAGCATTTAGAGGGATTTCAACTCTTTTGTGTGTATACGTAATAAAAACGTTTAACTGGCATCGCCAAAATTGTATTACACGAATTACTCTTGTTTTATCATTTTAGACAAATTAATCACAAGTACTTTATCATTGTTGGTTCTGCTTTTGTGTTGCTGTTTTTGCAAAGGTACTAGCGTATCTTTTTTTATGTACTGTAGTTTGGATCAAAACTATACCTCTACGTGTTATGACGTTAAAATTAAGATACCATGTGGAGGAACAAGGAATGAGCCTTATACTGGAACTCTAGGAAGAACAGTTAAGAACTGATAGAGCTATCCGGTATAAAATAATGTTTAGTTGATAGTAATGATAGTAATATTACAAGACCATTTGAATGGACCTTACTGGACCTCTAGGAAAACTTTAGAACTGATATAACTATCCAGTATAAAAAAAGTTACTTTAGTTTAGGTTTCCTCTTGTAGTAAGTGTAGTACTACAAGATCTCTAGGGAGAACAGTTTAGAACTGTAGTGATTATCAATAAGAGATTAATCTTATTGAACGCCCAGAGAGAACAGTTTATAGAACTTATAGAGCTATCCACCGTAAACGGGCTTGTATAATTCGGTTTAGAGGGTAACTGAGTATATGTTCTTATTTTACTCTGCACAGGAGCAGAACACATGAGATGTAATCGTACCTCGGACAAGATCGGATGCTTCAAGAGGAGTCTTCCATTTATGGGAGTGAAGTTGTTTGATATACTGGTGATGACGGATCGAGACTGGACGGCACCGCAGTATGGTGGTCAGGATATTGACTGGTTTAACTGGGCGGACTATATACATGGGTAGGCTGTCCAAAATCTTGATCAATAACATTTTTTTCGATTTTATTTTGAACACTAATGCTTTAAGGGATAGTTCGTACCCCCCACCCCCCCCCAAAAAAAGAATACTTTGCACATCCCTAGAATGTTTTCTCACCTCACCTAGAGAAATTTGCACGCAGCCCCCCATAAATTTTTCAATGCTTATTGTATTAAATTACAGTACTGTGATTGAAACATGGATTTTGCTAAATAAGACCAAAAATCTCAAAATTTCCTGGGGGGCTTCATCCCCTTACCCCCAAACTCCCCCGGCTGCGCCCACATACCCCTGCTGCAGCTTGCTCGGTGACGCTATGTGTCCCCTCACTCACCTCCCACCCTGAATTTTCGGCACCCCCTCCAGAGAATATTCTGTAAATCTGTCTAGCTATGGTCCCTCGTATGTATATATTCTATATATATATATATATATTGTACAAGCCTTATGCACCAATGTTTGATTGATTTCAACCCTATAGGTTTAGATGCCGCTGTTACGAGAGACTTAAACAACTCGCAAAAGACAATGATAAAAAATATCACCACTTCTCAATTTCAAACTACGGGGAATGCTGGACGTCGGAGGATATTATCTACGACTTGGCAAAGCTTGGTTTGGACGATACGTGCGTCGGGGATGATTTTCTCTCGTGTCGACTCGAGACAGAGAGCGAGTGCTTTGGCGCAGCGAACAGTCAGTTTGTTTATCATGTTCATTATGAGCACGAACCGCACGTAGATGAGTTCGAAATTCTGAACAGTGAATGCACAATCGAGACATTGACTGTTTGCATTTCACCCAGTACTTCGTATGCTAGTTCAACTGTTCAGCCATAATTCCATAACGATTGTATTATAAAGAACGATTGATAACTTATTTAATCAGTGTTTGTAATACAGGGTGTATCAAAAAAAGCGCAATCCTCGACTGAAATTAATGTAAATTGCTAAAGAAATAATAGACCAAAACGTTAAAGTTTACATTCATTTTAAAGCGTAGCCATTCAGCTTTCTAACAATGGGTTGTTTCTTAAATTTGACTCATTGGTTCGCGGGTAATAATACTTTACGTTATTGCGATTGGAGATTAAAAAAATTGAGATGGAATAACAAATCGTTCTCATGAAAATAACTGATTTTTTCATTAAAACAAAAAAATGTTGCATTTTATTAAATGGATTGTAACAATAAGTATAATTACGGCTTTTCTTCCACTATTTTTAACTCAGTTTGAAACTTCAAATGCGATATAATTTTGGCTTGGACCATCTAAGCTGACTGACATCAACTTGCTATAATTTCTGTTTACATTACATCGCAATTCGATGACACTCTGGCTCAGACACCAGAATGTTTTGACGATTTTTAGCATTCGTTTAGGATTTTCAAACAACCTGGTCTGTTTTAAAATACTTTTAATTTGTTCTTACGTGGTTTTCCAGATGTAGTGACGACAACATTAAAGTTTAAAGAAGAAAATTCTAACATTTAAACTGACTAAACAATAACATAGTAAACTTGCATAATTAAACAGCAACTAAAAATGATAAGTTTTACTAAATCTTTTCCTGTGCAATTATTACTAGCATTGGAGACAAGGATAATAGTTTGTTTGAAAGAGAAAAGAACAGGCTTTGAAGTAAGCCTAAAAGCGTTTAACTAGAAATAGTATTTCGAAAGTTATACAGCACAAAAGATGAATTGCGTTTATTTTGATACACCCTGTATATAATTCTCACGATCAATTAATTAATAAAGAAAATCACGAGCAGATCTAGCCTCATCTGCAAGGAGGGGTGCAGGTTTTCCATGGAGTGGTGCATGAGGGAGCCTTACTGCCCACTCTCCTCTGCAATCTGCAGCGCTACCATCCCAACATTTTACATCATCTTTTGTTACATCATCTGTTACATTTTACATCATCTTTTGTTTATCAAGTTTATATCGGATTTTTATCACGTGTGCGTGACTGGACAGTTGCTGTAGCACAGTACAGTAAATGTAATTGTTAAAGTACAGTATATTTGAGCACAGTATACATAAGTATGGCTATATGGTATAACAACTTCGACATGTTTACATATTTAACCATGACATTTAACTAAAGCATTCTGAGTATTTTCTCGTGAGCTCACAAATCAATTAAATCGTTTCAAGAAATCAACAGAGTAGAAATTCCGCTAATGAGCTAATCGCTATTTGAAAAGCAGAAATGTACGGTCAAGAAGATTTTTTAGGGTGGTGGTGGGACTTCTCTGGGGGGATGCTTGACACCCACTAGGTGGGGTGCGCATCTCCTGCACCTCCACGACAAACATTTGTTCGTGTGAAGCAGCCTTAATTGTATGTCAAACATGAAAATCGTCTCCCACCTTGCTGACAAAAAGGTTATATCACTTATATGCAACAGACTGATAATTCAAATATCTGGCTGTCGGCGTGATCGCGGCTTTGCCCTTTAATCCATTGTCGATATTGTCATAAAATGATTAGCAAAATAGATCTCATTGTCTTTGAAAAGAAAGACTCACACCTTCGCCAGTCTTCAGCGAGGGAGGATTGCCATTAATTGCCGTGATTTTTGCAACCTTTCGTTTATAGTTATTGTTATGTGACAATACAATAAATTACTTTAAGCTACCATGATATTACTAAGGAAACGCGATCAATTAGGCAGATGTCGTCGCTGACAAGAGTCTCTTACGATATGGCAAAACTAGTACAAAACTGGCCATGCTAAAACGTACTTCAGTACAAAGTTTGTACAATACAGTGACAGTCAACTCTCAAGAGAAAGCTTATTTTGAAAGATGAAAAATTGTACTCTTTGTAAGTGACGTACCTTGTTGGTTTTAACTTGATATTCAGTGATATTGCTTCAACTACAATGAAAGGTAATATTCTATTGAGTTTCTCAGTCATTTATGAGTGGATTTGCCCAATTGATAAGGGATCCGAGGTACCTACGATTTTAACGTCCTTATCCGAGAAGACGCGAAAGTCTAACCATTTATAAAACTACTGTTATTTCGAAAAGTGTGCATTTTAACAACACATCTATTTTAAAAACTGTATACAGTATTTCGAATCTATATTTCGATTCATTTTCAGCAGTATATTTACAAGAAAAATAATATACAGTTTTTAAAATAGATGTGTTGTTAAAATGCATACTTTTTTCGGAATAACATTCTAAGCATTTACTGATGTCAATGTAAAGGTAGCTCTTTCTCCTCAATTATTTTAAAACCTCGAGTGGAGGTCCGACCAAGGATCAACCCAGGGTCTCCCAGCTAGTTGAAAGGCAAGCGACGTGGTGTCCACGACACCACAATGAAATATCAGTGTTAAAGGCACAGTTCAGCCTTTTGAACGATGGTTTTTAAGGCGCATTTGAGCCCTTTTAATTGAAAAAACTAACTAGGAAAATCAATTAAGCAATAATTCAAAATCAGTAAACTCGATGTTTTTAACAATATAAATGTTTTAAAATGTTAAAAACATTAAGTTAGTGGTGATTTTCCTAGTTAGTTTTTTCAATGGACGACTTGCGCTTAAGAACAACGAAATCTATCACCACAGCTAGAAAGAGCGTCTTGGAATTAGTAATATTACAAAGTTTGGTTGCGAAATGCTGTAAAATACGGAAAATATAGCCCTTTAAAGTTGGCAAATTTGTATACTTTTGTATTACGTTTGTGAATTGGTAACTAAATTAGTTACCAATTTCCGCACGTAATAGAAATGTATACAAATTTGCCAACTTCGCAGGGCTATATTTTCCGTATTTTACAGCATTTCGCATCCAAACTTTGCAGTTTTTCTAATTTTGATAACTTCTTTCCGAAAATATCCTTTGTTATTCCCAGATTAAAAATTTTTCTAAAGCGCAAGTCGTCCATTATAAGGGCTGAAATGCGCCTTATAAAAACCATCGTTCAACAGGCTGAACTGTGCCTTTAATTTTAGCCATCTCGCTTGACATCATCTCGTATAGTAAACTAGTCCCAGGATATTTTCCTCGATGGAAATGCCAAAAATTAAATTATACATTGTCACATATTCCTGGTTTAATAGTTCTCAATATAATGTATATAGGTTTGGCTTGAAATTCTCATATAAACGCTAAAATATACGAAAAGTGTTTATTTTGTAGTCTACACAGTTAGAAACCTTTTAAATGTATCTGGCAGTTGAGAAACACAAAATAATAGTGATAAGGGACTGGTCATAATTTAGCAGGAGGGGTGGGGAGGTGGAAACAGTGGGGTCGGGGGTCACATATTTTTTAGCCAGGAAAAAGGGGGGTTCATAAAATATTAGACAGTTTATGAAGGTGGGGGAGGGGGTCTGCTGTTTTAGTTCAATTAATTGTTTTATACATGCCTTCTCACATTTTGTTTGAGTTGCATTGAAAAAAATTGATTCTTTAAACTTAGAATGAAAGTATAAAAAACTAAAGTTTTATATATGATTATATATTGGTATAATATAAATTTTAGTATTTGATTTAAAGCGCAACTAGAAAATTAGAAAATTTAAAGTGCAATTAGAAAATTTATTGAATGCAGGGTTTAGTAGTAGGTAGGTACATTTTTACTGGGGGGGGGGGCATTATTTTTCCGGGCTATGGCAAAGCAGGGTCACAAAATATCATTCCTTAAAATTTTGAATTACACCTCCCCCCCTGATAAATTATGACCAGTCCCTAAATATCGTCAATTTTAATTCAGTTATCATTGATGCTGTAATTATAATTAAAGTGCCTAAGTATTTCACTTGTGGGATCTTTATGGATTTGAAAAGAGTGTAAAAAGTTAGTTAATTAATAATAGGCCTTTAAACAACAGACTGTTCCCGAGTCCTAGCCTCCTGGGCTCTAAACACGGCTATTGAATTTGGCCTTGATTAAAGAATCAATATTGTGCATAGGAGCCTGGGACTCAGGAACTGTAGGCAGTTTAGAGGCCTGTATCTTCGAAATTATTGCACTAAATCAAAAAAATCTTTTGAACTTATTAACTAACTTTTTATGCTCTGTTCAAATCCATAAAGGTCCCACAAGTGATATAGGCACTTTAAAACTTTGTAAAATTGGCCCCCTACTGACAGCAGACGACTTGTATTGAATCTACCCGTTTCGTCTATCAGTTTTCAAGAGTATAACATAAGTTGCAACGTTTTTGTGAAAACATTACACAGTTCCTTTGGCTTTGCCAATAATGTGCTAAGTGACGTATAATTAGGGCGGAACTAACAACTTAAACTTTAAAACGTTTTAGGTGAAGTTCTGGGACTTTTTATTACCTTTGCTGTTGTTTTCTGGATCCCAAATTTACAAGGTACAATTTCTTTCTACAATGAACGTAAGCTTTGGTTAACACTGTGTAAGAATATGAGAGAGCGGTCAGTGTGATGGCTAGTGGATCACATTCATTTGGAAAAATAAGGATTGGTCCCTACAGTCTTACTGGAGTTCAACAGTTTAGAACTGATAGAGCTAGTGGAAATAAATTTATCTCAGTTCCGTAGTAGTGGACCGGCCAGATCTGGAAAAAAGTGGGATCCTGAATCTCAAGGAATAAGGATTCATTATAGAAGAAACGTTATGCAATGTTCAAATTTGCCATAAATGACGATTGTACGGTCGATCAAGTTCATGTTAAGAAATCTTTGAAGAAGGATGTAACTGAATCAATAAGAAATTATCCTTACTGGACCTCTTGGGAGCTATCCAGTATAAATAAAGTTAGTTTAGTTCGGGTTACCTCCTGTAGTAACACAGGATCATAGGAGATGGCTCTTAATGGACCTCTAGGGAGAACAGTTTAGAACTCATAGAGCTATCCAGTATAAATAAAGTTAGTTTAGTTGGCAGTGGCACCGTGGGACCCATGTTTTTTGGGGGGCCAAGTGCAGTACTTTTCCGACAAACCGAAAATTTTTTCCGAGGTCTCAACAATAGGAGGGGGGCCATGCCCCCCCCCCGGCCATGGTGCCACTGAACACAGGATCAATAGGAGATGGCTCTTAGTGGACCTCTTGGCCGAGAATAGTTTAGAACTGATAGATCTATCCAGTATAAATGGAGTTAGTTTGGTTTAAGTTTCCTCCTGTGACAACAGTAGACCAAAAAGACATCAAGTTGTTGATGGATTTTTAGGAGATGGAATTTCGAGCGAAAAATGTGTGTACAATTTTCAGACCAAACAACAAGCATTAATTTCCCAACAAGACATCAACCACATCAGACCCCTAGGAAGAACAGTTTGAACCAAGAAGGGATGGGTCCTTGCTAGATCTTTTTGAACTGTTAGAGCCACAGTAACCAGTATAAATAAAGTTAATTTAATTTTCATGATATCAACTTTCATTACCAGTCTGCAGAAGCCATCATGCAACCTGTGATCGAATATACTCGAAGGTCAACTGCATTGACACTTTTCAAAACCGCAAGAGAATCTATGACGAGCTCATTATCACTGACCGTGATAAGAAATCTCCAAAAGCAAGTGGTATTCCAACTGACTGGTTCCACTGGGAGGAATATTTGCTGGGGTAAGACAATTGCATCCACTGATCTACAATAACTAGTACTGGATATTGCAACAGTGGTGCAAAAGGGAGTTCTCAACGGGGCAGGTTGACAAAGCTTGGGGGTGACAAGGTATAACAGATGCAATATGGTAAACATGAAAAGTTTTAGAATATCTTTTTGATTCTACAATTCTTTAACCCATTAAGTTGCACTTGGGACCACATAAATGAAAGAATTGTGGAATTAGGCGTAAAAAAATACCTGTGGTTCCAGTTCCTGACCGACCCAGCTATTTTTTTCTGGCGACCCTATTATTTTTTCAATGCAATTGACTGTGCAACCCTATTTTCTCCGGGTGGTTGCAGGCTGCTGCCAAAATGGTGTCTGTTGTCGCACTAACTATTGAAAGAAACATGAAAAAAATATTCAAAAAAAATATTCCCGACTTACCGACACTAATTTTTTTCGTGATATGAAACCGGAACCACAGGTTTTTGTTCTCACCTTATAGTAATCAAGAACAGATTACTAAATCATTATTATTTACTGCATCATTTCTGATCAACATTTGCAAAGAACCATCCAGGTTATGGTTATGCAATCTGCAAACTAAGATATTGGGAAGTTTTGCTCATTTGACTGCTATGTGCACAAATACCCAGTCAACTAGACATCCTATAACTTTTGCTCTTGTTTGACCAGGACAAGAAAACTCTCATGCAAACTCTCACCCTCATTTGACGAGCAGGATCAATCTTCTACTACCCCTAAAAACTTTCAACTATTCCTATTTTAGACTAGCTTGCCGATGCCTGGAGAGATTAAACAGACTTTCGGATGGAAATTTGAGCATATACAATCAATTTACAATAGAAAACTACGGGGAATGTTGGAGTACGAGACATGGCCACGACTCTCCATATATCCTCACAAGATCTAACAACTGCATCGGAGCTGGATATCTGGATTGTCAGCAGAACAGCACGAGTGAATGTAGTGGGACGCAACTTTCGAGTTTTCTTTATCAAATACATAACCGAACTAAACTGCTCGATGAACATTGTGAAATAGTAAAAAGAATTGTATGTCCATCTTCGACAATAACTCTACTACAGAATTCATCAACACCCTTTTTAGGAAATGCAACAGTCTTCGGAAATTTTACCAACACCCGGCAATACCCAACTTCTCAATTTCTGAGAAACTCAACAGTTTTGATAAATACTACCAACACTTGGCAGTACATGAGTTCCCAATTTCTGAGAAACTCTACAGCTTTGATAAACACTACCAACATTTGGCAAAACACAATTTCACAAGCTCTGGATACCTCGGCAGTTTTGAAAAATGCTACTAACACTTCCCTCAATACATATTCTCAAATGCCATCTTCAACAATATGGTCCATAGATTCCCAAACTACAAGGCTGAAAACAAGCTCACTGTATACTACATTTAATGAATCGACAAGCAAGACATTTTCAAATCAAACAGATTCAATGCTTTCCCAATTGCAAACCCTCAACACAGGAGAACTGCATACTTCTGGTAGCAAACTTCAGAACGTGACATTAGCCCCAACACAAATTTTTATTACAGGATCAATGCGCTACACAACATCTGCTACTGAGCTGTCAAATGTTGAATCCACGAGACCTTATTCTAACCACAGTATCTCACTCACTTTGGCAAGATCCTCAGAAACAACCGTATCAACACCCTCAAATGCAGAACAAATAGCAAACAAGAGTTACTATATATCTAAAGATGCAAGCTCTATGACCAGACTCTCTGTGAATCGAGAAACAACTCTTCAAACTAGCAAACTCAGCTTCACTATATCCAGCATCAACACAAGTCCAATCAAAGAAACATCAATTCGAGCTTCGCAGTCGATCTTCCAGCAAAATCTATCAACATCTGAAAGTATTAAGCAAATTTTGTCAACTCGTCTAGACACAATGCTATCATCAGCGTTGTCAGGGCAACTGAATATAACGTCCACCACAACTGGTAATGTCATTTCAATGACACCAAAGCCAGATCAATCAAACACATCCGGATATATTTCTACAACACAAACAATGTATAGTCATTTACCTGTACAGAGTGTGGAGAAGTCCCCTGAAGTTCCACAGGTACTACAAAACTCCTCCATAATATCCATAAATATCCATAACACAGAAATTTCCACATCCAGTATACAGTTTAGAGATCTCCATACGCTAAGTACAATTCTCTCTGGCAAGCTGACGCAAATTATCCAACCATCGTATATGAAGTCGTCTCTTCAGTGGTACAGTAATGCTTCTGGCAGAAACTTGATTTCCACATCATCATTCAGTGAATCCTATAAAGACCCCAGAAATTATTCATCTATAAAACAGTCTGAAACAAGCATGATGGGTTCACAATTCACACATGCGAATGTTGTTTTATCATTAAGATCACATGTGAATGAGACACTTTTCACATCAATATTTAACGAGAGCTCTACGAGGTTTCTTAATTCTGTCTATCCTACAACTTGGCTGAATGAAACACCTACCTCTGTCTATGTATATCCATTTTCGCCACTGGAAGAAACGTCAACAATGCAAAGATCTATGTCAAGTCAAATTAAAGCTAGTCATGAAATATCAAGAGCAAACAAACCAAGTTTGACATCAATATTTAAGGAGAACTCTACAAGGTATCTTTCTTCTACCCCTCACAATGTTCGTTCATTTTTGCCACTAGAGGCCGGAACAACATCAACATTGCAGAGATCTATGTCAAGTCAACAAATTAAAGCCAGTTACGAAACATCAAGAGTGAACAAGCCAAGTTTGACATCAATATTTAAGGAGAATTCTACAAACTTTCTTTCTTCTACCCCTCACAATGTTCGTTCATCTTTGCAACTTGAAGGAACAACGTCGACAATGCAGAGGTCCATATCAAGTCAAATTAAAGCCAGTTCTGAAATAACAGTCTCAAGTGAATCACAGAGAGTACCTGACAATTCAAACTCAAGAACCGTCACTCCAAATGGCGGTAATTCTGCCATGACCCAATTACCAACAATATTTATGGTAATTTTTATCATAATGCTTATTCACTTTGCCTATGCATGATTCTTAACTGAAGTAAAAGCAAGGATGTACTTCATCTAAGCATGTCCCTATAACCCAACCAAATCATAAACAGTAGCATTGCCAAAGGCTACCAAAGAGGGGCTGCCCACGTGTACTCCTCCCTTTCCCTTTTTGGATAGACGGCAGAGTTAGTCAGAGCCGCCCCCGAGCCTTTTCCAACAAAACATTTTAGTGCTCCTGACAAGTGATTCATGATAATTTTTATACTTTAATAATCTGCCCAGATTTGAACTTTTTGTGTGCCCCGAGATCTCGTCAAAAACTGCCTAACTCTGCAGTCTGGATTTTTGGCGGAAACATATATTTTGATCCTTCCCTTGTAAAATTAAAAAATTAATATAAGTGCACAAATATCTTATTACCATAAGTTGATAATTGTGGAAAGGTATCTATTCTAGTATAACTTCATTTATTGTAACAATCATCAAGAAAGCTAGCTTAAGCCAGGTCGCTAGGAATATTTAAGTTGGAAATGAAAATATGTCATCGGGAAAGAAGGAAAGTTTAACAACTTTAAAATAGAAAATGTTCAGTAGAGTTTAGGAGTTGAAATACACTTAAAAATGATAAAGAATTAATAAATTAACTTGTATGTAAAACTTACCGGGTGTCCTGAGGTTTTCATCAAGTATTCGAATTATTTTTCAGCTCATTTTCACTCAGTAATTTTTTAAACAATCGCCATCTTGGATTATAAAAACACGTGTTTTTGGTTTCACCATCAACGATGACGTCACACGACAGATTCCGAAGGTAAAACATTTTTGCTCAAAATCTTCTTCAACTTTGGAAGCCTATATATATCTTCGAAAATACTCACGAAAATTTTTGGTGAATCTGATAAAATACATAACCTCACTTGTATTTAAGATTGTGCAGATATTAGAAATTGCGCAGCGAAAAATAATCCGCGCGAAAAAGTACACTACAGAAACATGCGCGAAAAATGAACCCGGGTTCGAAAAATTAAGTGATAAGCAAAATAGAATAGAAAAGTTAGAAAATATATGAAATTATACTGAAAGTAGAAATTATTCTACATGACGTATGTTACCGAGACCTTAATTACTAATTCAGGCCGGATATCACAAAAACTGAATTCAATAACTGTTTTATTATACCCGGCATTGGATTTTCATTATTAACTCTTTCGACAAATACTGATTTGTCGAACAAAAAAAGCCAGTGAATACGATTTAAAATATCACAATAACAGCACAAAAATATTAGAAAACTTATTTACCTACCAAAGTTCGATAAAAGATAAAAATGGCCTGCTTTTTTGGAAAACTGTTGATTCTTTCCAAGCGTTCGCCATTCCTTATGGCTTTTATTCACAATTCGCCAGAGTCAGAGAGCTTTGCAAAAAAAACTAAAATTCATGTAATGACAAGGGCATGATAAATGCACTACCAAATAAAATTACACAACGTAAAAACTACGAACATAGTTAGAAATAAAATAAGGAATGCTTTATCCAATATGGATGCTGCAATAAGCCATTGTTCTTTTTGTGACGATTTATGATCCCAAGTTCTCGCGAGATAATTTATCTCCTGGATATTCGAAATAAGGCGGTGGTTTAATGCTATCATTTCATTTAAAAATGAAGAACAACGCGTTTTCGCGGGTTTCGCTGTGCATGACTTGCATTCGCAGTAATGAAGCGCTTGAAAATGTTGAATGTTTAGCTGTTTCTCAGAGTTTTGCATTGGGAGATCAGGTTTAGCGTTTATGCAATCTTTCAAAACTGTGGACTGGTCTTCAATATGGGCTGATTCTTCAATATTTACAAACGCCTTGCTGTTACTAGGTTGGTGTGTTTCGCAACGTATTTTTATCTGTGAGCTACTAGAGAAATCTCGTCTTTCTTGGAGAGTCTCTTGAGCCAGAGAACCGGAGCTGTCAGGCAGACGATCATTTGATCTAAGGTCCTCTCTCTCAAGCTCATTCACTCCAAACCCAGATTCTTCGATAGTGTTTGCTAATTCTATGTTCGTATCTTGCTCATCGTAAATTCTGGAATGATCCTTGTTTACCGACTCATCCATTGTCCTAATTTCCTCACAATCTCTGTATTTGCTCTTTGCCATATTTGCGATATCCTGAAGTGATTCGAGTTTCTCCTGGATCTCATTGTGAATATCATCCATACCCCAAATTCGGCCCAGTTTCTGCATAACAAGCCCGCGGACACATCTCGACATACCGCCCAATGCTGGTTGTCTGTGATAAGCGTTCAAAGTGATACAGACTGCGTAAAAAATCAGAGTCACCTGTAATGAAATCACATTTATTACACTTGAGCCTTTCCTTACAGACACCTCTCTATATTACACGGACATCTCTCTAATACAAACACCTCTCTAATATGGACACCTCTCTTAATTCTGACATCTCTCTAATATGGACACCTCTCTAATACGAACATCTCTCTAATATGAACATCTCTCTAATATGAACATCTCTCTAATACGGACACCTCTCTAATACGGACATCTCTCTAATACGAACATCTCTCTAATACGAACACCTCTCTAATACGAACATCTCTCTAATACGAACATCTCTCTAATACGAACACCTCTCTAATACGAACATCTCTCTAATACGAACATCTCTCTAATACGAACATCTCTCTAATACAAATACCTCTCCAATACAAACCCTCTCCAATATGGACACCTCTCTAATACGAACATCTCTATGTATCTGTGTGAGAGGTGTGGTCCATACAGAGAGGTTGGCATGTATATAGCTATTAAAAAGTTCGTACCTCAAAGCTCAACATGACGTAATAAATACTGAGCAGAGGAACTGTATCAGACGGCGGCGTTCTTTCTGCGACCATTTTCAAGAAGAAAAACATTGAAACAAGGCAAGTGAGCACAAGACCAATCCTTTCTGCAGATGTCACAAAAGCCATGATAGTCAGAGCTGAACATAAATAATAGGAATAATTAATACTAACAACATTATTTCATACTGATTATACATAAGATGGTAGGTACATAAATAATAGGAATAATTAATACTAACAACATTATTTCATACTGATTATACATAAGGTGGTAGGTCTGATATAGAGATGTCCAGTACAAAAGTTGAGGTTCGTTTAGTTTAGGTTTCCTCCTGTAGTTTCACTGCACCAATAAGGGATGGCTCTTACCGGACCTCTAGAATGAACAATACAAAACTGATAGAGCTTTTCAGTATAAATAAAGTTAGTTTCGGTTTCCTCTTGAACTAAACTGCAACGACAAATGATGGTTCTTATTGGACCTCTAGGGAGAACAGTTTAGAACTGATAGAACAGTCTAGCTTAGGATCCCTCCTATTACTGGACGATATATTTTCTATCGTGTTCTTTTTAACGGTTGTGTTTGATTCCCTTCTCTTTACTTAGATTAAAAATTGTCTAACATGCAAGTTGTCCATTCTAAATCTTCTCTAACCTGTCAGGAACAGAGCAGGGAATATAAAATTCACGACATAACTTTTTTGTCTTCGTTTGATCGTGAGGGTATACGTCACATCAGGATACGGTTCTGGGCAGCATGAGTAGGTCTGTACTTTGCGCTCGACCGAGGTAGATACCAGTTTCCACTCAAGACTCGAAGGAGATTTTGATATATCCATCGTGTATGACTCGGGTTTCACGTCCAGAGCAAAGCCATCGTATGTCCACGAACCTAACTTTATCCTACACGTCTGAGACGAGAATTATTGATAAGAAATCTTTCAAACACAGAAGGTTTTTGTCGGGTGCTGCGGATTTTATACTGGGCGTCTAGGGAGAACAGTTCGAGACTACAAGAACTATCCAAAAAAATAAAGTTACTTAAAATAAAGTTAGTTTAGCTTTCTTATTGTATAGTAATTCCAGATCAAGAAAGGATGGCTCTTACTGGACCTCTTTGGAGAACAGTTTAAAAGTGATGTTTGTGATGTTACTCTGAGTGTGTATCCACACCGGGCAGGCTTGAAAAATATGCCTGGCCACGGTGGGAATCGAACCTACGCCCTTTGGAATACTAGCCCAATGCTCTGCCAACTGAGCTACGCGGTCAGGTCGGTTCGAGTATGTGATATTTCAGAACCGAGTCTGTTCCATCGATATCAATGTAATCTAATAATTATGATTTGCTGCGTTGGTGTTGTGTACTCAGGTACTGAAATATCACATACTCGAACCGACCTGGCCGCGTAGATCAGTTGGAAGAGCATTGGGCTAGTATTCTAGGTCGTAGGTTCGATTCCCACCGTGGTCAGGCATATATTTCAAGCTTGCCCGGTGTGGATACACACTCAGAGTAACATCACAAACATCATATTCACCTGAGTACACAACTGCACCAACACAGCAAATCAGTTTAAAAGTGATAGAAATACGCAATATGAATAAAGTTAGTTTAGTTTAGGGATTTCCCTTGTCTGGTAGTAGTACAGGAACACCAAGGAATGGATTTTGTTGGGCCTCTTGGGAGAATAGTTTAGTCTTGAGACAGCTATCAAGTATACAGTTAGTTTAATTGAGTAATATTATTGAAGGCTATATTATTAACTGATAATATATAAAACTCTCAAAGATAGATGTACCTGTGTATCAAAAGGGAACATTTTGATATCAACTTGACATGATGTTCTCATAACTGACGGTCCCATCCATTGAATTCTCCCGTCATGGTTGACAAGAACTCGAGTTTGGAACTGATCTAGACCACTGTATTGACCCCTGTTTACTCTGAAATATGGGAAAGGTAGTAGGTCTTTTAAATGAATGTTTATCAGTCAGAACAATGAATGACTAGATGGCATAAAGAACAATGAGATTTTCAAAACAATGAAAAGACAATGTAACATACACTCTCAAAAACACTTGTTTAAATTTGGTCAAAACTTGGTTAAATTTCTTGGGTATTTTATCACACCCAAACATAATCTGGTTAATGAAACCAAGAATCTGGTTATATTTCACAAGGAATGTTCCTGTCATAATGTCAGATGGTGTCTCCATTATGAAACACGATGATCCATCTTAGGTCTTTGTAGGTCTTCGTTTTCGAAACACCCAATACCCTCGGCCTTCAATAGCAGGCTTAACTCATAGCGGCAAGGGGTACCGTATCTGGCACCCATGATCGCAAACTAGAACAGTTAGTCAACTCACTCGTTGTAAACCTTGATATCTGGAATCCAAACTTTGTTTACAGGAATATTGATTTTTTTGACAGAAGAAAAGTTCGATGGTGTCCATGTTAGTCTGTGATCATGCCATACCTAGGGAAATTGTAAACAAACACGAACATTTATAGAAGATGATGCAATCTACATAAAACACAACACAATTCATCATTTACCTGTCGTATCCATAAACTCGTGGTAAGCATTTGATTTTTGTCATCCTGTAAGATAAAACTCGAAGTATATGGGATCACAACAATATTCACAAGTTAGTTTAGTTTGGGTTTCCTTCTATAGTAACACTGGGTGAATAAGAAAAGGCCCTTACTGGACCTCTATAGGAAGAACAGTTTAGAACCGATAGAGCAATCCAGTATAAATAAACTTAGTCTAGTTTAAGTTTCCTCCTATAGTAACACTGGAACAATAAGAGATGATCCTTACTGGCCCTCTGGGGAGAACAGTTTAGAACTGATAGAGCTATCCAGAATATATAAAATTAGTTTAGTCTATATAGGTTTCCTCCTGTGGTAAGAAATTGCTATTTATAGTTATATTGGACATCTAAGCCAGGAAAACAGTTTGGAACTGATAGAACTATCTAGTGCAAAATAAAACTAGTTTTATTTCAGTTTATCATACCATATTTCTAATAAGATATAAAGATATTCCAACGGTCACTGTAACGTTATCTCTGACATCAAGAACAGGCCTGACTTCTTTCGTGTAATCTTTCAATAACATCCTTTCCAGACGGACTTTCGCATCGAATGTGCTTTCAACTACAAAATAAATGTACATTACTATTTGGAAATAAATAAAACAGCATTATAATTGATAGACCAGAGCTCTTGGAATTGATAAGAGTAACCTACCAGCCGATAGAGGTCCAAGAAGATATAGATAGCAGAATAGCACCAGAAACATTTTTTACTGTTCTCTCTTTGCTTATTTTTATCCTGCAATGAATTCACATTAAAACAAATTAAGACCATCTCTAAATCCTCCATCATAGCAGGAGCAAAGTGGTAGTAGTCCTATCAGGACTAAACTGTTCTCCCTAGAGGTCCAATGAAAGCCATCTCTGCTTATTGATCCAGTGTTACCACAGGAAGAAACCTAAACTAACTTTATTTATCATGCCTAGATAGTTCTACTAGTCTTAAACTGTTCTCTTTAGAAGCCTGGTAAAATCCAGTGTTACTACCGGAAGAAATCTAAACTAAACTAACTTTATTTATACTGGAATAGTTCCATCAGTTCTAAACTGTTCTTCATAGAGGTCCAGTAAGGATAATGTCTTATTGATCCAATGTCACTACAGGATGAAACCCAAACTAAACTAGCTTTATTTATACTGGATAGCCCTATCAGTTCTAAACTGTTCTTCCGAGAGGTCCAGTAAGGATAATCTCTTATTGATCCAATGTCACTACAGGATGAAACCTAAACTAAACTAGCTTTATTTATACTGGATAGCCCTATCAGTTCTAAACTGTTCTTCCGAGAGGTCCAGTAAGGATCATCTCTTATTGATCCAGTGTTACTACAGGAGGAAACTGGAACTAAACTAAGTTTATTTATCATGCCTGATAGCTCTATCAGTTCTAAACTGTTCTCCTTAGAGGTCTATAGTAAAAGCCATCTCTATCAGATCCAGTATAACTACAGGAGGAAATCTAGACTAACTTCGGGTTTCTAGACTGCCACTCTGCCCATTGAGTCAACTGGGATTGGTAGGGAGTCTTATTCAATTTACGTGTATGAAATATTTTCGCGACGACTTGCGCCTGTCTTGGAGGACGGGCATGCAGTTTAATCCTTTAGCTTGCAAAATTCCTACTGTGATCACAGAAACTTTGATAGTGTAAACCAGGTCTAAGTCTACTAACATTACTGTAGAATCTTACCTTGTATAATTAACCACTGTGACATCAATATTCCTCTTGGCATAATATCTTACAGTCAAAGCACGCACGAACCTATAAATATCAATGCTTGGGAAAACATTGAAGATTTATGAGACAAATTGTTTTTCTTTTGTCTGTCAAGACTGATGACCCGCGTCTATACAGTATAGATCAGGCAAATATTATAAAATGACATAAATTAATGTCTCCATCTGAATTGAAACAACTCCTCTACTGGCTGAAAAAAAAACCCAATTTAAGCCCATGCTGATCATTGGGGTGATGTTAACAAAATTCCCTCCATTAACAGCGAGACATGCTGAGTATATAACAGTACACAAATACCAAATGATGTCACAAACATATCTCAAATAGTGACTTATGTTCGAAATATTTCATGTTTTGCAAGGTTTAGACAGCATATGCTACAATTTTGGTTGCATTTTGAAGCCGTTTATAGAATAAAGGGATTAGCGAAATTCATAAAGAGACTATTAATGGGCTATTTTAATAAACAGAAGTTGATTAATAGCGTATTGAGTTTTTGAATATGTCTAAGTGCTAAATGGTCACATAACATGCCTGTATATATGAACTCAAAAGCAATTTACAAGTTTAAAGTTTCCGGTTCAGATTTTATACAAAAATATAAAACATTACATTAATTAAATTCTGGCTGCTTTAATAAACTATGTTATGAAATACGTTCATAAAATATTGATTGGACAAAAGACAAATAAGACTGAGCATTAATTGAATAATTTGTATACAAACAGCATGTAGTTCGACCCATTCTGTTCTGAACAAAGAGAAGTTATTATCACACTGTACACTGAAAGGTTCATCCCACTTCTGTGATAATATCTCGAGCCCCAGGTAGCGATGTATACACGCGAAACGCCCAAGTTGTAACAAACCTGCAGCAGACTTGTAGCAATGCTGTTCCAACAACTTGTCAACAGGATGTGTTCGCACTGCTTGTTCCCAGCGTGTTCACAAGTTGTCAACGGCTTGATGACAACGTGCTACAAGATAGTTGAGCTCAATAGATTTGTTACAAGTTGTTCCAACAACTTGCTATCGTTCTGCAATTCAACAATATGTCAACAAGTTGTGAGTGACAACCTTGTTGCAACTTGATGAAATAACATGATTGTTACAACTTGTTGACAAGCTTGCTACACGCCTGTTGCGAACACATCTTGTTGACAAGTTGTGAGATTTTTAAGTGTGTATGGAACAACTTGTTAACAATTGTAACAACCTTGTTGATATTATCAGACTTGTTGCAAGGACAAGGTTGTTCAAACAAGTCCGACACAGTCATGATATAACAATATTGTTACAAGCTTGTGTCGTCTTGTAAAGTTCTTGTTATATCATGACCGTATCAGACTTGTTAGAACAACCTTGCAACAAGTCTAATAATGCCATGAAGCTTGTTACAAGTTGTTAACAGTTCTAAACTTGTTACAACAACTGGGAACAAGCAGTGCGAACACGACTTGTCGACATGCACTTATGATTAACAGATTTGTAACAACTTGTTTGCAGACCTGTAGCAGATTGTCCGTTTCACTTGTGTACCCTGAGATTTTTTACCACAGGAAATTTATCAGTGAAAAAATTATAAACACAATCACAAAGAACACCAAGAACACTCGATCGAGAATGATAGCAGCAATGAGCCAGCTCTCTTTTTCTGCCGAGGTTTTGTCAAACTGGCGAGCGACGTAAACGATTTGCCGAATTGCAAACAGCAATCGTTTGTTGCCTTTTACCATCTTTCTTACCAGCGTAGAACATGTACAGATCTGTGGCTCGTCCTTCCCGCATCCAGTGAGGGTTGGACATTCGCTGTCAGTTATGTCTTCCAGCCGTACACTCGATTTATCCGTGCAATCTTCAACGTGGGAGCTAGCAGCACGTAACTTACTTGGAACGGTGTCAACGTCTTGAAAAAAATTAATACCATTAAATCACAAGCCACATACAAAATGCGTTATAGGGAGCGGTCATTATTTATGGCTGGGGGTGGCACCGAAGAGAAAAGGGTTGGGTAAACAAAATTTTGAGTGAGTAAAAGGTTGGGTAAATGAAAAACAAAACAACTCAAGGGTTGGGTAATAAAAAATCATTGTCATTTCCAAAGCATGACTAACTTAAATATTGAGGACTAAAAAGCAATGTCAACAGTCGTATGTTAATACAAGAGTCATAATCTTGATCATTTTCCGATTTGTCAGGAGGCAAATGGTGTCTCCAAAGAAGGTACATGTGCTGACAACATGAAACTTTATACTGCAGAAAATTGCACAAGCAGTTATCAAACTCATGTCACAGAAGTGGTAAGGGACATGTGTGACAACTACTAAATGGTATCCTTTTGAGGTTGGCCACATTTTTTAAATTTTTTAATGGTTGGATCAGCAAATTGTTTACCAAGAAAAACACTTCTCTTCGGTGCCACGCCCGTCACAAATAATGACGAGTAAAATGCAATAATGATGAGTAAAATGCAATAATGACGAGTAAAATGCAATAATGATGAGTAAAATGCAATAATGACGAGTAAAATGCAATAATGATGAGTAAAATGCAATAATGATGAGTAAAATGCAATAATGATGAGTAAAATGCAATAATGATGAGTAAAATGCAATAATGATGAGTAAAATGCAATAATGATGAGTAAAATGCGATAATGATGAGTAAAATGCAATAATGATGAGTAAAATGCAATAATGATGAGTAAAATGCAATAATGATGAGTAAAATGCAATAATGATGAGTAAAATGCAAT